AATTGGTTTCTTAAAGGTTGTCTCGCCATTTTGTAACTTGTTTCAAAAGTTCTTTTTCCGTCAACAATCGCTACTGCATAACCATTAAGCGAAAATTCACCTGGCAATTATGTAACTCACCACAGGTAATTTCGTGTGGTAATTGTCAGGAAAACTGATATTTATATCGATGAGACGAGTTGCAAAAAGCCCTTTGCATCAGCAATTGAGATTTTCTTGTTGAGGGAAAAATTGATAAGAAAATCTATGGGGAAATTTTCACAGTACTGTTTATAAAGCTTTAGTCTACTTCCTTCCGAAACTTTTTTGTCAAGAAATCGCCAACAACTTCCTGAGGATCGATTGATCTTGTCTGAATAGATTGAAAATTGAGAAAGTTAGTCTTTCTGACTTTGAATTATATGCGATAGAAGCTCCCCCAGTGATTTCATGCGCCAGCATGCACCGCCTCACTGGCTTCGTACAAACTCGTTGACACGATTGATGGTGCACTGGGCTTCTATGTGTAAAGGTCAGCCGGGCACTATCGCAGGATGCAGGGGCAATGTGGTGGCAATGCATTTAGAATCGCCCAAAACATCGCCTTTTTGTCGCGAATGGGAGTATGTCTTAGGTGAGGGAAAAGGAGCTCCAAAATGTACGAGCAATTCCATTTTCCCCAACGTTTCTGCCCCGCCTAGGTTCAGTCCTAGAGGATACCCCGTATCTTGCGATAGCGCCGCCAGCAGTACCTAATGTTATGTGTTGGTTAGGGATAAGGATTTTCATGTTGGTATGTGCGATCCCAACTGTACCTAGAGAAGCGGATAACGCTGTGTTGTTGTCCTAAATTCAGTTGAATCGGGAACAACAGAATTCCACATTATCTCCTGATTTCCGGATTTAGCAAAGTTTTTCCCTCTGTTTTTGGTTTCCGGAAAAAATTCTGGAAAAAAGATGCAAATCTTAATTTTCGTGAGAAAATTAGTGGTTGGAAGATTTTGAAATGTCTAGTTTGTATCCGTATGGTAGACGTTAAAGGCATGCCCCAGGATCACATTGGTGTGGCTCTTGCACACGAATGCGAATGTATTGGTGCGAAGTGGGCCGGCAGTGAAGAAAAAAGGAAAAGAATCCGTCGAAAACGCTCAGGTTAAGGGCTCACTCACCTTCCTAATCGGCTGTGCTAAGGGAATGAGAGACTAAGCGCGGAGAGGAGAGTATGAGGCGAGAGAGCGCTACAGATGAGAGAGCGCCAGACAACAGCCTGATAAGAGAAAAAAATCTGCAGCTTCCAGCAGCTTACTTTGCAAGGCCCAAAGCGCTCTTAGTGCTGGCATTTCGTGTCATGGAAGCTCAACCATTTGTGATTATCTTCTAGGGGTCCACACTTCAAACCGAAGGGAAACGTTCACACGATCTCTGCCTGGGTGGTACCTTGTAATAAAAAACCAGAAAAAAATCAATAACATTAAAACGATCTCTTTTGAGACCGATGTCGAATCGAGATACTCTTGTTACTCTCTCAAATATTAGGAGGGTTTGAATTATTTTCAAAAAAAAAAACACATCTGTCAAAACAGATCCTTCGTTTTCAGCTCTTGTATGAATGGCCTGTGGAAATGTGACGAGGCCACCTTGTCTGATTCAAGAAGATCTCCTCGAGAAAGTTCAACATGGCCGATTCTCGTGAGTTTCTTCACCGCGATTGCACAGGGTTCCTAAGGTGCCATGAAAATTGTCCCAGTTATTGATCGATCAGCAACGATGGACATCCTGATAATTTCAATAGGCGCCTGATCGGACAATCGGATATCACCATTGCCGTATCAATGGTCACCTCAGTATCATTATCATGATGAATCAACGGCGACGGGCGTCTGATGACCGCATTACACACTCTCACTCATCGGGGCGTGAATCCTCGCTGATCTTATTTATGGCCTTGTTGTACTTATACGCGATGTTTTGCGTCACCACGCTATTCGAGGGGACCGTAAGGCCAACCGGCGTGAGGGCCTTTGTGAACATTCCGCGGTGATCGGTGATTCCCGACAAGGCTATTGACACAATGCTGGTTGAAAGCAAAAGACGAGCACTCATGGAATGGGCTGGAACTTATACGATGCTGGAATTTGTTTCTGCACCCAAGAAAGATGGAGGCGTAAAGGATTGGATCTGACCAATCCCTTCTTGGGTTTCGCCATCCATTTGGCGTTTGACAGCCATCGAAGTAATGTTTGAATGCTGTGTGATCTACATGGCAGGGCCAGCCCTAATGAAAATCAGTATTTTTATCTATACGTGGAGTCTGATAATGTATTGGATTAATACATAGTAAAGTTGTATTTTTTCTCAGGATGGAAAGTTTTCATCAAACATCCTAGCTTTTTACGTCATATTATACATCAGTCGAAAGAAAATTATCTGCTCTATAAATATGTGTTTTTTTTTCTACATTCATTGAGAACTTGCCAAATTTCTAACTTGTAACATGGAAGGTTAAGTCGAGGAAAATTGCTTGAACCGCAAGCAATTCAAGTTCTGTTTTCCATTAATTCTGCTATTCTAATGCCCAGAAAACCGGGTCATTGCCTGTTTGAAGCTATTGTAGTTCTTTTGGTAATAGGTTAAGTTACGATAGGTGTTTCAGGCTGAAATTTTGCTCTGAAACGCCCTGTTTTCATATCACTATGTGCCATGAAATAGCTTACCTTATGTTCGATTTGAATGACTGTTCCATTTTATTAGATAATAAGTTGGCTACATTTTTGGGACTATTCCATGAGGGGTTCAGTCGACGAGATCGGCAACTTTAACTCAAAAAATTTTTTGTCTAAAAATTCGATAACCTTAACCAGGCCTTCGTACACAAATGACTTCTATAAACGTCCAATCAGTTTTTTCAAGCCGAGTCAGACAGAAAAAAAAATTTCACGTTCAGATCCAGTGCCATGGCGCTAAACCATTGGGTCCCAGTGAGAAAAAACCCAATTTGTAAAAAGTGTACCGTGTTTCGCTGGACATCGCAATAAAGGACTGATTCTAGTTGGTACTGAGGCCCTAAATAAGGTGGCCTTCCACCGGTTATTTTGAATCAAGAAAGTATGATCGTCTCTCTTTTGGTCTGTGTGGTCTCGAGAACCGGTGGGTGAACCAGCTTTAGATAATGTGGTGCATTCTTTGATCTCGAACTTCAGTAGGGTTGCTGATACGTTTGTTTGGGTAGTTGTGTTCGACCCTTTCTTGCTCTGAAGAAGGGGATTTCGCCAAAATGATAGCCCATTGAAGGTCGTTTACCAACCTCGTGAAAAGCTTTGAGGAGGATATGTATCAACCGCAAGTACTAAAATCTATGTTTCAGAAGCAGTCTCCCCCACCATCCTTCCCCTCCTCCGTCATCCCTCCCCCCATCCCAACAGAAATACTGTGCATTATTTTTTCCTACTCCACGTTGAAACTCAAAGCGTTATGACTTTTTGAGGATTCTTTCAGAAAGATCCGCCCTAGAACTATGCCCGATCGTGGACTGATATTTGACGGTCACAGGGATCGTTAACAGGGTCCTTAATGGTATCAGCACTGAGCAGCGCGCAAAACTTGACACAGTTTGTGTGCCGGAAATCAATGCCCAATTCTGAGGAATCGATGAGGCGATTGATGAGAGTTGTTATTCAGATGGTCGCCGAAGAATTATTCATTCTTCTGGGGACGCAGTCTTGACGAGGGTATCAAATACCGTCTCGGTACCCTATTTCCTGAACAATCCGTGCAGAACATGAACGAGATCGTCATCAAGCCACGTGAATTGCCGGAGCATTTTGATGCACGAGAAAGGTGTGTATCGATTTATTGATGGAGACTTTTGAAGAAATTATCAATGAAGGATTTTTCAGGTGGCCAGGACTAATTCACGAGGTCCGAGATCAAGGTGATTGCGGAAGCAGTTGGGCAGTTTCCACCACAACGATCTCGTCCGACAGGTACGTCCCGCCCATGGACGACTTTTTTGCAGCTTTAAATTGTGATTCAGGCTGGCTATCATCACTGATGGCCGAATCAATGTGACTGTTTCTCCGCAGCAGCTTCTCTCATGCAATCAACATCGACAGCGAGGTTGCGAAGGCGGATACCTAGACAGAGCTTGGTGGTATATCCGAAAACTTGGGTCAGTTTTTTTCTCGAACTTGGAACATGAAGCACCAGCGACTTTCGCTGAACTGACAAGGGAGATTATTGAATGCCGGGGGTTTTGAATATTCGAAAATTCATGTCACGGTAACAAAATTTTTTTGGGGTATCGGGGTTAGCGGCGAGGTATCTCATGTGTACTTGACTCTCTGTTGAAACCCCCCCCTGGAGTCTCTTAGGCTATTCCTCCTATGTGTGCCACGTTGTGAGGGTGGGTTGCTCAATATGGAAGCGCTTTCGTGGTGACCTTCTAAGCAACGCCTATACGAAGTTATTTTCAGAGTGGTGGACGAGACCTGCTATCCGTACGAGTCGGGCCACACGCGTGAGCCGGGCGATTGCCGTATTCCCGAAACGAAGTTATACGGTTAGTGACACATTCCTACGACGCCAAGAAAACCTCAATAAACGCGTAATAACTTCGATCAGGGGCGCCATTTTGATGTCGACTAAGGGATTCTGGCCGGAGAATTAGCGCTACGCTCACAATTTGAAATGAATACGACGCGACGGCAGCGTCAGTTACTTGGCGCATAAACGTCTCGCATGGCAGCGCGTGTAGTCATTCAACGTAGGGGTTTGATGTAGAAATGGGCACAGGAACAATGGTCACACTGCCAGAAACAACGAGTGACTGAAATCAAGAGCGTGATAAACGTTCAATGTAAAAGTCTATGGTCACGTGCGTCCCGCTCAATTTTGGGCGTTTTCCTTGTTTGGATTTCCGATTTTCGTCTTACTATTAAACCGTTTTCGATTTTACGCCGCTGTTACCGTACAGCGCAATTTACAGCTTTTCCAGGAAGGCAACCATCTGACGTGTCCGGCTGATCCTGAACTTGACAGTGCCGCATACAAAATGACACCACCATATCGAGTTTCCAGTCGGTAAGTCATGACCTTTCTTGGCCTCGAGTAGATGGTCTGAAAAATGTTGAAGTGAACCTCTTGAAAGCTTCCCCCTGAGACCGAACTCCTGACAGGAGATTTTCAAGAGGATCTGCTCAATCACCGCAGCTGGTAAATGTTTAAGTAGCCTATAGGAAACCTGGTTCGGTGGCAATCGCGGCGGAGAGTTTGGCGCAGGTGTTCGATGAACATATTGTGCATTCCAATCGCATATGTTTAGTGATGCTTTGTCCGAGACTACATATTTGTTTCTGAGCGTCACATTGTTTCGGGATTTCGAATGACCAGATACGCCGAAAGTTTGTGAAGAAAGGATAAAGAGTGATGCTCATAACCGGCCATCGCCGGGGATGCGCCAGCGCCCTTTTAAATGTTGCTCAGCTTCGCGAGATTATCGTTCTACTCGACTTCCTATGGAACTTGAATCGAACGCACGTGAATGCATGGAAACTATGAAAGCACACTGTTGGTTTCAAATTTGCCATGGCAATCTTGGTCACCTCCTATCTTTACTATTGTTTATTTGCTCCAAAGCCAATTTGTTATTATATTCATGTGCCTTAATTGTCAACAATAGCTAAAAATAAAAATAATAAAATAAATTATGAGCAGTCAAAGACAAAGTTGGCTGTTAATGGTGTATTAATATTTGGTAAAAGTATACCAGCGAGAGAAAGCAGTAGCCCTGATTACGAACGATGACATCTATTCTCGGCGCTGGCGCGATCTGGCTCCAACATGGAGGCAAAAACCTAATATGCAAAATTTTGTAGCCACGGGGAATCGAACTTGGGACCATTTCAATCTTACAACTTCTTTTTCAGATTCACTTAGCAGTTTTGGCCTTCACATTTGTAGCCATCATTCCAGGCCCTATCGATTCACTTATGGTTAGGTCTAAATTTAAAGTTTCTTGGGAAGTTGAAACAATTTCCTGGTTAGACACGCTTGTTATGAGTTAGGTAGGAGACTCCTCTACCTGAGGGTTTCACTCCTTACAACTGCAAGGATGATGCGATGAGCCTGGGCAACGGCTATTCATTCCAAATACGACTTTCAACCGAGATTCTCATATTTTCCCATATTTGGGAGAAGTCAAAAAGTTCGCAGAAAAGATTTTTTGTGCACTTCATTTTTCTCACTCAAAAAAGACCTGAAAATCAGCTGGGTACTTCTTTTTTCTGGAGTCTTTGAGATTCGTGGATTTGGAAACGCTGGAGGACATAACATAATTTTTCGAAGAAACTGTTCACCTGGAAAATTTTGCATGAAAAACCGTTTTGGCGAACACACTTCACCACGACTCTAAGTCGTAGTTGCGATGAGATTATGGTGAACTTATACTACCTACCCTAACTTAGACGAATATTCAAAATATCCAGTTACATATTGTACCCCTTTAAACTTGACCAGTCGCCGTGTTAAGTTCAAATGCCTTAGCCCTTCCGTTCCGATTTCCACTGAAGGACGTACTAGTGTAGTAACGAGGAATTAACATTCCGAAATTCTTCACCTGACCTCGACCTTCCTTATAAGACATTAATTTCTACGCAAATCTGATTCCGCACTGCTTTTTCCGCCTCTAAGCAGCTTAGTTTAAATTGATGGTAAAATGAGCATTTTCAACGGGAGTAATTGCCATAGCGGTCACACCCGCACAGTAACTTCAAAGTCAAACAGCAATCGATTACCGTTTACGGTTAATCGTATGATTTATGGCTTCTTGAGTTGTGATGATGTCTTCTGTGACAGGTTTCCATCCTAACTACACCTGACCCCTTCAAAAAACCTCTGACAACCAAGTATTAGACTGTGATGATAGACCATATACGGCACGGAAACCTGCCCTACAACCAGCGGGGTTTTGACAGCCAGCTGTTATCTGCGAAACACTTTTTTTTGCAGGGACTTACGGGTAGATGTGAGAGCCAGGATTTCAAAGGGCCATCTTCTTCATTAGCATTCGACTTCGATTCAGAATCGCTATAGTATTTGGATGGATACTCGAAAATACATTGGCTAAAGGGACCAGCTGATGTACTAATTCCTATATCCTCACAAGCGAAAGTAATGTAAAACAGTCGTCTGCAAATGAATGGGGCGCTTACCTCGTCCTCATCTTCGCCCGTTCCAACCCAACTAGTTTCGAAATTACTCGAAAAATTCCTACCGCTCTGAATCAGCCACTTCAGGGTAGAAGACATCATGGCTGAGATCATCACAAATGGTCCTGTCCAAGCAACTTTCCTGGTGCATGAGGACTTTTTCATGTACGCCGGTGGCGTCTATCAACACACAGAACTTGCTGCTCAGAAAGGTTGCCGGCTTCACTGGACAGGGATATCACTCTGTTCGCGTACTCGGGTAAGAAAACGGTTTGATGTGGACGATTTTTAGATGTTTTCATTTGGAACCATTATTGATTTCTTTTAAAACACTACGTATATATCACTGATCCGCACTAGTTTCATAACTTTCGCACCATCTAGCGAGGACAGTCTTCACTCTATACGCAACTCTAATCATCAGTCCGTTGAAAGCCCCATCCAAGCGTTTTTAGAGTCGACCCATACACAATGACGCTTTTAGAGTGAGGGTTAGGGTTGTAACGAAGGGTTATGAGTCTTTAAGTCATCAGAACCAGCCGTCGGGTACCTTATCGCAATGGATTTGTTTCGGAGACTTTTCACCTCCAAAGCCACT